AGGGCGCATTCCAAGGCCATCAAAGACGTGAGTTCAGCTAACTAAAGGGCACTATAACCCGGTGATAGACCAAGAGTAAGCGAGTTTTAAGAAGAACGAGAGCAAATGTCAGAAGTAGTCGAATTAGAAAGATAACATAGAGTAAGCCGACAGACATTGCACCGGATGTTTAAATGTGCAATCTGAACACAATTAAACTAGATCTATTGATGTGTTTTTTCCGTAATACGTAAAAACAAAAAAAAAATACAAATACTAAAATATTAAAAACACAAAAAAATGTTTTAATTGGTTAGATTTAACAAATGTTGTTTCACTTTTTTTTAAATGGTTTAAGGTGGTACACCCCCATTCTAAAAAATTTCTTTAAAATAATCTATTCAAAATTAAAACTACAATACACAAGTTTAAAAAAGTATGCTGATTATTTTTTTTTAAATGAAATCTCAATTGCCCAACTTTTGCCTCACTTATTCCATAAGAATTGCCAAAATGTGGGTGTAATTTAAAACAAGATATCTCCAGATCTATATATCTTTTCACTCTGAAATTTTCACATTATGTTCCTAAAAGGTACAAAGAGGTTATGAACCAAAATCATGCATTAAAGATGCATAGAACATTTTAAATGTAATTTTCTATAAATTTAAGAAAATTTTTAACAAAAAAAAAAAAGAAAAAAAGATTTTAAACATACTTATACATAATATTTATTTGTAATTTTGGTTCATTACCTAACTCAATTTATAACAAAAGCACCCTGAAAATTTCAAGTCAGCATATTGGTCCCAAACTGAAAATATTGCGTTTTAAAATTTAGGTATTTGGTAAAAATGACATTTTGAGAAAAGCACAAAAAACAAAATAAAAGTTCGTTATATTAGGAAAAGAAGCACAAGCTCAATTAAAAACCTCCACTATTATATTGTGGGTCCTTTTCCAGTTCTTTTTCAATATATATGTAACCTTTTTTGATGACTCTAAGCTTTTTTCTCCTCAATTTACCTTTAGCACTTGATTTGTGATTCATTTTTTTAATTCGGATGAGGTCCAATTTACGAAGTCCGTCTTGCATAAACATACTTGATTCAATACCTCCAGCACTAATTACTTTTTCAACTGCTGTGCTTCCATCATTAATTGCTATAATAGCTGAGTTCATACTTATCTCAAGAACCTTTTTCCCAATAAAAAAATCTTTAGGACATCTTTTCCATATTAAGGCATTCAGACTTTTATTGTTATTTTGAGTTTGTCCGTGCAAACATTTTGATAAAAATGTTTTATTTGTCAAATCTGTAAATATAGGCATAAGTACTGCTTTAATTGCTAATGGTAAGCTTAATTTAGTCTTGTATGTTGTTTCACCAGTTACTTTATTACTCTGCCACAAACACCAACTAGTTCTAGTTTGTGGGCAAAATTTGTGTCTCTCTGATTCTTCACTTATGTGACTGTTGTGAAATAAAACAGCCCAAGCAGCAGAAACAGCACCAGAAGCTTGCATGGATCCTGATGATTTATTGTGGTTAGCTTCACAAACATGATTTATTTTCCAGTTTTGATAACCTAGGGTTGACTTTTTTTTGTTCCAATAACTACAAGCTTTGCAGAACTTAGTTAACAAAATTGAATCAAGACATTTTCCAATCTCTCTTGATATTGCAGTGACAATACCATTTAAAGATTGATGGCCTCTCTTTTGCCAGGTACCATCAACAGAAACTTGGCAAGCAGAAACATCATTAACATTGCTAGAATTAGAAATAATATCTTTGGTTTCATTGGCAGCACTTGACATACTTGCAGAAGCAACTTCATTATAAATATTTTAACAAGTTGTTATTAATTGCAATATAATTTTTAAAATTCATAGGAGATGGCATGTTCATTACTGTAGCAAACTTGAATATAGATTGATAACCTTTACCAATTTCACGAAAAGCAGTAACAACTTGAAAATTAACTGATACAGTAGAAACACCTGGAGTACTTTTAGATTTTTTAGTTGAAAACTAAGACGTGTGCCATCCTTTGCTATATGGGCAACAAAGGCAATGTAAAGTTAAATAAAAATAAAAACCTTTCTTGCTTTTTAAGTCATTTTCAAACAAACTTCATTTCCACATTTAGGGCATTTAAACTCACTAACCATCAGTTTTAAAATATTAAAGTTAATATTGATATTGTAATTTTTTTGACTTACAGATATTTTAGTGTTTACTAGTTTTCTAGAGCTTGCTGATAAACTTGGATCGGAAATTGATGAATCAAGCTGAATAAATTTTGAAGATTTTAGGTGTTGATTACAAGAAAACTTTCTTTTTTTAGTTCGAGCAAGAACGTCCCATATCTTATTTAGCTATTTATCTATAAGAACATTAACAAACTAAAACAGCATGCAAGCACAATATTTTGATACATGTTCGCATTAGTAGTTCAAGTTATAGCTTTTAAAATAAACATGAAGCAAAAAACAAACAAGAAGCTGCAGTAGAAAAGAGTTTTTGATGTTAATAAGCTTGAGCAAGTTTAAATTATTTTGTTTTAAAATGCGTTGCTATGGCGTTGCTACGGACTTCTCAATCTACTATGGCCACAAAACACATAATTGTACACACTTCCTTATTTATTTATTAAAAAAATAATTAATAATATTATTCTACAAAAAATTTTGAATTTAAAAAACCAATTTTCAAAAAATTGATTTTTTCTAAAAAATTTCGAAATTAATGGGGATGTACCACCTTAATTATTTATTAATCAGGATGTTCCAGACACGTGAACCCCGACAAGTAATTGAGTAGTCCGGTGTTGTCGGTGTTGTCGGCCCTGTTTTTTAAACAGGGCTGACAACACTGGAGGGCACGTGCGCCTCCAATTTTTTTCTTAAGGACTTTTTTTTTTTTATATAAAATTCACGATATAGAGGACTTCTTCCATTTAGAATATAACAATTGTGCCCCTTTTATTTGAAACCCATGTTGTCGGCCATGTTAAGTGATGTTTAAAAAATGTAAAAATTGTCAATCGAATGTCTTTTTAAGTATTTGCGATTAATTAAAGAGAAATTTGGCTGAAAATATGATGGAAGTATGTTATTATGAAGTTTAAACATAAGCGATAAACTTTGATAAATGTTAAGTTCGCATACGTTTAAACCATCAATTTCTTTTAGTAAAGACTTGGCGTATGCATTCCACCTCCTATAAAAAATTTTGTTTGCTAAACTTTTTTTCAAATGTTGCTATATTAATTTATGTTAATATAACAACATTTAGTCTATGAACTTGTTTTAATGTTGCTTTAAATTTATTATTATTATAAATTCTTTAAGAAGTCCACAGGAAAATCAGAAAAAAAGTCGATTTTTGAAGCAAAAATCAAATTTTAATTTTTAATGCTAGTTTGTGCAAAATTTAATGCTCTTTTTAATGATATATAGGTTTCTAGGGTTTTTATAAACTAAAATAGTGTTTTTTTATTAGCTAGTGTAATGATTTTGGCCATAGCAACACATTAGCAACGGGTATTACTCCCTATTTCTTGCTTTCTATCTCTCAAAATGGGGTGAAAAATAAATTAAATTAGATGTCAGGTAAATCTACTTTGCTTTTCTGGTCTAAAAACTATTACTCGAAACATCAAACTTTTGGTTTAAATTTTAAAATGAAGCTTGTAAAATTTGTATATTGGTTTGCTACTGAATGTACTTAAAATTTTCTAGTATTATGATTTTGTGGATTTATAATCCGAAACTGAAAAACAGAAGTTTTGATATCTGGAGTTTGGAAGCTTGAAAAAATATTATTTAGAAAGGAGTATGAATATTTGAATGTTTTTGTTAAAAATTTAAATATTCATAAAAAAAAAATAAAAATAAAAAAAAGTTGTATAAGCATCTTTTGCAAAAAATAATTTTTTGCAAAAGATTTTGCCTATATGTTTATGTATATTTAGCATATATATATATATATATATATATATATATATATATATATATATATATATATATATATATATATATATATATATATATATATATATATATATATATATATATATATATATATATATATATATATATTATATATATATATATATATATATATATATATATATATATATATATATATATATATATGCTTAATGACAATACAATATTCGATAATTAGTTTTGTAATAAGTCAATTAATTTAGTTAATTTTAATTAAAGTTTTTTATTTATAAAAAAAAAAAATAATAATTTTTAAAATAAGTATATTAATTGTTTTTATACTCATACGTGCATTTAGCATATTTAATAAATTATTTGAATAAAGGCGTTGACTTTCTAAATGGAATGGCAGTGGTTCCACATCTTCCAGAACTTTTTTTTTTTTTACACACCCGTACTGTTTTATTTAATAAAACAAAACAGGAATATCAGAAAAAATTTATTACAAAATTTGTGTTTTAATAACATATAAAAGCATTGAGTTTTAAAAATTCGTTTTTAATTTTTCTGGTTTAGATTTTTAAAATCGGTTTTTAAAATTATTCTGAATTGATGAATTGTATAAAAAAAAAACATTTTAGACTCTTTAGAGACCTTTAGGTTGTAAAAAAATGTGGCAGCTAAAATAGTTTAAAAAAAACCTAATATTTTTTGGGCTCATAAAATAGCTTGTAAAAATTTGGGACATTCAAGGAGAACAGACCGCCCTCCTCCGCCCTCCTCCGCCCTCGCTAATCCTCCGCCCTCGCTAATCCGTTCCAGATTAATACTCATGCAAAGTTTTCAGATATTTAAAATTATTTTTTTACGTTTTTTATTATATAAAACTTATATAATATATAATAGTAAAAGATAATAATAATAAAAGATATATTACATGTAAGTTTCTATTATAAACACAGTAAAGCTTGATAATTTAAAATCCGTTTAAAATATCTTTTTTATAGAATTCTTTTAAATAGCTCTTTTATATGAATTTCAATGGATGGTTGTAAACCAAACTTTAGGATACTTTAATTTTATGATAATCTTTGATTTACCTAGTCCGTCTGTTTTATTGCATAAACCGTTTAAGTGCGTATGCCAATTAATTCTTTCAAGCAAGAGTTTTTAAACATATTTTTAGTTAAACATATTTTTCAGGTAATTGTATAGCAACTTAATATTTACCTATAAAGAATAAGTAATGCTATAATATTCAGCAAATTAAATGTTATTTGAAAATGTTGAGTTGATATTTTGTGAAATCGGTGTTGTTGTTTTTTAAGGAGTGTCATGCTACACTTGTTCGTTGTTTAAAAATGTACATATTGTGTATATACTATTTTTTATTACTAGAAGAAGACTAGAAAAGTGTTTATGACCTAGGCAGTTGAGTACAGCCACGCCTGCTATTATCCTTAAAGGCCAAAGGTATTGGTTTGTACCCAAATAGTTTGACATTAGCTGTTTTTTTAGCATCACAGTTGTTTTGAAGCTAAACATCGCAGTTGTTTTCAAGCTCTGAAAAGAAAGCACTTATACAATTATTGAATCAATTTTTTTTTCTTCCTTTTTTTATTTATTATTATTTTTTTTGAATCGACTTAATAAATTTATATATATATATATATATATATATATATATATATATATATATATATATAATATATATATATATATATATATATATATTTATTTATATATACAAATATTTCTTAATTTTTACAAATTTATTAAAAGTTTTACTAAATACTAAATAAAAAATCATATCCATGTTTTTAGAATCAATAATTTCTCGTTTCAAAAACACAAAGATTATAAAATAAGATTATATCTTTTAATCATAATAACTTTTATAATCTCAGAAAATCTTCGTAATCTTGAATGAAACATTCAATTATATTATAAAGTTTTGATGAGACAAGAAAACATTATTTTTATTACCGATATTTATTTTTATAATAATTGTTTAGATTGCAAATGTTGAGAAAGTCCCCGATTTCTACAAATTATATAAAGCAAACTGAGGTATACGATGTTGCAAACATTACGTCTTCCAACGAAAATGCCATAAATGTGACTGTACACATTCCACATGACACTTTAGATAAATCAAAAGGAAATTTATTTTTGATTGTGGTGGTCGTTAGCTTTTGTGTATTTTTTGGTGGAGTTATTGCATACGTTATGTATAACCACTACAGAGAAGTTATGGCGTACGTACTTTTATTTTCTCAAATACCTATAATTTACGGCTTAAATGTGGTAAAAGATGTTGTCTTTTTTCTTCTTATAAAAAAAAAACCTTACGGTCTTGTCGCAGAGCATTGTGGGTGAGCATTTAACTTGGAAGCTCACTCTTCCTTAGTTAGTAATGACGAGAAAAAATGCCCAGAGCTCGCTTTGAATCCCGTATCTCTTGCTAATAAAACAAGCGGTTTAACCACTACGCTGCGGCTGCTGAATTTTCTATGGCAAATCACCTAAACAATTAACCTTTAGGACTTGTTAGAAAAAGCTTTTTTGGAAAAATAAAAGAATTATACTTAGATTTATAAACAATCTTTTTTTATGTCTCCTTTAGCGCTTAAGTTCACACTCGCTAAAGCATTCAAAAGTCTGCTATTACTTACTTTTTGATTCCTTTTTAAAAAATTAAAAAATATATATTTTTAAAAACTTTTTATTTCTTTATTAAAGGAAAAAAAGAGAAGAAGAAGCTCTTCAAAAAACTCTCGAAAGTGGACAAGCGACTATTTCTAAAAAAACCTCGCTAGTTGGAGGGGGCCAAAAACAACTCATGTTAGTAGTTAAATGTAACTGGTATTTAACAATTTATACGAGTAATAAAATTTTTTTCTTTTAAATTTAATCTTCAATTTTTCTTTAAGCTTTATTCTAAAATTTTATTTATTTTTGTTTTTTTGTTGTTTTTTTTTTAAATAGAATCGAAAGAAAAGTAAGTGTTAATGCCAGAAAAATAAGCACTGGAAGTCGAGGTAAGTCTTGGGAAGTCATGGTAAGTTTTGGGAAGTCAAGGCAAGTTAAGTTCGAAAAGGAGTCAAATAATCTGCTTTAAAATAATCAATTTTAAACCAGACCATTTTAGTTTTCTTTGATTAAGAAGTATTTTTTGAAAACAAATATTTTTTTTCATTGAAAAAAAAATTATTTTAAGGTTTATGTAGTGGAGAATCGAACGTTTGGTCTAGCACAAATAGTCATGCTTTAAATTATTTGCGCTCGTTATCAGAATCATCAACTCAGAATATAAGCGATTCAAATCAAAGAAAAATGAGTATTTCTCCAAAGGTTTTGCCTGCAAACTTGCATAATAACTACTTAGAAAATGTTTTGGTACGATATCGTGATGGTTCTACAGCCAACACCCTTAAAAGTGTTTCGGATGCTGAAGAGTCTGACGAGGATCAAGATATCTTGCAAAAAATCTCACTAGAGAGTAACTATCGGTCAAATAATAATATTGAAAGTTTTCAAATGCAAAATGATGTAAACGATGCGCATGACAAAGCTGAAGAAGATTCGTTGTTAGCAAATTCTGTATATACATAAAGTTGTCGAAGTACTATGACAAGATGACACCATGGCTTTCTTAAAAGACAATAATTCTATGTAATTATCTTATAATTAAAATAATAATTTATTTAAAAATAGACGAAAAAAAATTAAAAGTTTACATATTAGAAAATAAATAACTCTATATATTCAAAATCAAAGACCAAATTTAAATTTATGTAGGAATATATGCAACTTTAATTTATGTAATTTTCCGTAACATGTAGTCATAGATATATATTTATATATATATATATATATATATATATATATATATATATATATATATATATATATATATATATATATATATATATATATATATATATATATATATATATATATATATATATATATATATATATATATATATATATAATAGAGACGGCTAAAACCAGAAGTAGTGCAGTAATCCCAATGTATATATATATATATATATATATATATATATATATATATATATATATATATATATATATATATATATATATATATATATATATATATATATATATATATACATATATATATATATATATATATATATATATATATATATATATATATATACATATATATATATATATATATATATATATATATATATATATATATATATATATATATATATATATATATATATATATATATATATATATATATATATATATATATATATTGCATTTTTAACTTTTTCAGTTATTTATTTAAAAAACATTTCATCAACTTAGTTTATTTTATTGTCCTTTACAAGGAAGCTCTTCTCGTATTAGCCAAAAACCTTACAGTTGATATTATATTATTTAATGAACTTATTTATGATATGTGGTAAAGATATTGTTGTTGTTCTTGTAAATCTAAAAAAATTTAAGTACTCATTGCTATAGTTATATATTGTTATGCTAATATTCCTATTATCATTAAAATTATGATTGTTACAACATTTTTATTATTAGTCACATTATGTTATTATAGCATTTAAATTTATAATTTATAATATATTTAGGGTTGCTTGTCAATTTAAATTAAGTTGAAAATGTACCCATATGCCAGTAAAACGTTTTAAAAATAATTCCATTGAAATTTTACGGCGCAGGAGCTTTTAAGCGTTTAAACTTCCCTTGCAGTAAATTTATAACGTTAGAATTTTTTTAAAGCTTTAAAATGTTAACATTATCACTTTACTGCGCTTTTTATTGTCATTAAACAGTTTTCATTTATGTACAAGGAAATTCAATTTTGAACTAATAAAAAAACTTATAACAAAAATAGCTATGTATTCTTTTTTACGTTGTGAGGATAAGCCAACCTTGAATTTGATAACCCAACCTTGAAGCAAATTATAATGCTTAAAAACTAAAAATGTAATTTTGTTAAGTGTTTATTAATATATTATATAAATGGAATAATAAAATAGAATAATAAAAATGGAATAATTTTATTTCAGTATAAAGTTTGCTAAAACTTTCACTAAGTGACATTAGAATAATTTTTGTTTTTGTTTTCTTTAAAAAAAAGATTATCGAGGATATTTGAGCTATTCCAGTCTCTGTTTAGAAAATGACCGCAAAGAAAAAACCGTCCATATACAACTGTTACTGTACAACTTTTGTTTAAATTCTTTTTACATCATAAGCTAAATATCTTGGTAAGAGATCGGAAAAAAGTTTTGAAACATGTGCTTTACAACAACATGGTAAACACGTATATGGTGACACTCTGAACCTGTCAGCAAAAACTGCTTTAAAAAAATAGTTTCCGTCAGATTTTCACGCGAACATTTTTGAAAATAAATCATTTTCTTTACTATCAGTATGATCTGAAATAATAAATATTTTAAACCCTAGTTTTTTTTACAACTTTTTTAAGCAAATTTTTTTGGGATGGATGTTTCATAAGGTTGAAGTCTAGTTGACATTATTTTGGATTACCACACGCTAAAGGTAAATTACATAATTTGAATTAATTTTTTTTTCAAAAAATGGTTTGATATGATGTAGAGAGTATTTCTTATGTAATGTTTTATTCTCTTTACTGTTCATTAAAAGACATTCGGAATTCTATGAAATACCAAGTATCTCATATGGACCCAGCCATGAGGCATATCTGACGACACGGGTTTCAAAGAGAAAAGACACCATTGTCAATTTCTAAAAAAAGTCATCTATATCTAAAAATACCTAGTAATTCAAAAAAAAGTGTGTGTGTGTGGGGAGGGGGCGAAGGATGGGGTAGGGGGCTAACGTCCCACTGGCCCACCTTCTCCCCCTACCTTCTTTCCCCCTCCCCAGTATCGTCGATTCTGTGAGGAAAACAATTTCTACTTTTCCTGCCATCTCGTTTAGGATTTTACAAGAGTATTTTCTGATTAAAATCAAAAAGCATGCAACATCATCAAAATATTTTGATGAAGGTGAATGTTTTTTGTCAAAGCTTTTTTGTTTATTTTTTGAACAAAAATGGGCTTGACTTTTTCCACATTTCCTGTTTTCTATAGTAAACTTTATTTTAAACCTCGTTATTATATAAAGGATTGCAATAACTACTAATGAATCTATGATTGTACTTTATATTGATTAAATGACAAGATTTTTTGTTATACATAAGGTATATCATTATACATAAACCTCGTTGGTATCTTTTTTAGTTGACTGACTTTATCTTTCTACAAGACCATTGACTTGTATTCATCATTGATTGCCTTGTAGAGAGACAAAAAGGTAAACCGAGAATACACATTGCTGTATTGCCTGTCATATCATGTAATGAAATCGATACATAGTTTAAAAACTTAAGAACTAAGTCATAAATTTTTATTTTAAAACAACCATGTCTACAAACAACTTCATTCAGAAAAGTTACTACTGATACTGCTATTTGGTTGTGAACAGGTTCAGCTTCAGTTCAATAAAATAAAATCAATAAAAATAATTAAATTTTTGAATATATTTGATTTAGGTATTTAAATCCACACTAATTTGCTTCATTACTTATTATTCTACTTTAACTAGTTTTAAGGCAGAAGGCACTTTAAAAATTCAGTTTTTTGACATCTTTCATATGTCGAAAGATGTCAAAAAACTTTTAACTGAATTAAACACTTTAATATGAATATGCATGTAAATAGCATTTAAAAGAATACTCATATGAAATCGGCCTTGACTCATAGACATAGCTTAAATGCTAGGAGTGAAGCTTTGCTCGACGAACTCTTATTAACGAACTCTTGTTAGTTGCTATGAAATATAGAGCTTGATTTGATATTGTACAAATTTTTATACAAAAATAAATACGTAATTTAAGAATGAAATACAACATGACTGAATTTTGGAATTACAACAGTTGCTTTATAAACGCTAATTTTCAACAAACGTTTATTAAACGTTTAACTTTTTTCTTATTAATATTTAAAAATATTTTGTTTGCTGATTCACAGTAAGGCAATTGCTACTCAGAGTATTGTCTTACAATTTTATTTAATTTTCTTAAGCAACTGAAATTAATTAAACATTACTTTCCGCTATATAAAATTTTCTCAGCTTGTCAATACTTCAGTCATATTTTAAGGTAGCAATTTTACTGCTAGGAAAGTTTAAAACAGTTTAAAATTTCAGCGCAGTATAATTTTTACGTAATTTAAAAACGCTACCGTAATTTAAAAACGCAACCGGTGTAGCATTTTTAAATTACGGCGTTAAAATTTTACTGCGCGGAAGTTTTCAACCGTTCAAACTTCCTTTGCGGTAAAATAATTATACTGAGGCAGTAATATTTTAACGTTAAAATTTTACTTCACTCGTTATAATTTTACTGGCTTTTTAGTTTACAATTTATATAGCTTATTTTGTCAAGATGTACAAAAATATTAACTTTAATGATGTCGGGAAATGTTTAAATGACAATGCTTTTCCTAAAGATGAAAGAGGGAAAAAAGCAAATTTTAGACGGCAGTGTAAAAACTTTGTTATTGTTGACAATAAGTTGATGTATTGCAAAAAAGGTATTGGCGAGGTAAGGAAAACTTGTTTTTATAAAAGAAGTTTTTATTTAATTTAAAAGTTTTTACTTAAATAAAATAAAGTAATTAAACAATATTCTGTGTTGTGCATTATTTTGAATTAACACAACATTTTTCAAAAATTCGAAAATTTATAGCTTTAAAACAACTCAAAATAATGCAAAAATTTTATACAAATAATTTTTTTTATTGTAGGTGATTGTGGTAATAGATCGGGAAGAACACTTAAACATTCTTAAAAAGTCTGTGAGGGTCTCGGTACTTCTGAAAAAGCTTTTGCATTAGCTAGCCTCTTAGGAGTTAATGCTGTGAGAAAGCAAGTTTCTTCAAAATTTTTTTGGCATTCAATTGTGGAGGATATCACCAAACATGTAGCTCAATGTGAACGATGCCAAAAAACCTCTAACAGAAACCTAAAAGTGTCTCCTGCTTTAAAATCTATTAAAGTAGAACAACAAATTATATAACAAGTTGGTGTAGATTTAATTAAATTACGTGAATCAAATGGATTCAGTTATGTAATTGTTCTTATAGATTATTTTTCTAAGTTGACTGAAGCTGAACCTCTTATCAATTAAACAGCAGTATCAGTAGCAGCCTTTCTTTATAGAGTTATTTGCAGGCATGGTTGTTTCCAAATACAAATTAATGACCAAGGTCGTGAATTTGTAAATTCAGTATCCATTGCACTACACGATATGACAGGCGTTCAGCAACGTGTAACCTCTGCTTACCATCCACAAGCCAATTGCCTTGTGGAGAGACAGAACCAGACAATTAAGAAAGCAATTGTTAAGGTCTTAAATGAAAATGTTAAAAGTTGGGCCTCAGTTTTAGATGGAATCCTTTTTGCTTGACGTGTTAAAGTGCACTATTCAATGGGGTATTCACCATTTTACCTTATGTATAACCGACAACCCTATCCAAATGATGTAAAGTACACAGATGTACTCAATGGGGATAACTACAATCCTGTATATGATAAAGAAGTTTTACAAAAAGTTTTACAAATGAAAAGAGGACCTGAAGAAATGGCCATGACCAATATTGTTTGTGCACAAAAGAAACAAAAAATTGACTATGATAGAAAGCATACAA